ACCGAGTATATTCAAGATATTTGCATCAATAAACATTTTTCAATTTCAGCTCAATGTCAGTCACTCCGTCAAAACTGGGTCTTCTCAGAAGTTCAGAAACCATCTTAGAAGTCCAGGGCAATTCGTAAAAGTTTAGAGAACATCATTTGACGCCAAAGAGCTTCGTAGAAACACGGAGAACTTCTTGAAAGTAAAGGCAACGTTGTAGTTTTGCAGGGAAATTCGCAGAACTTTCGAAAAAATTTGTTAACATTTATTGTACTAGAACTTTCTAGAAATACAGTAATTTTTATAGATGTACAGTGAACTTTGTAGAAGCTCAATGAACTTCATAAAACTCCAGAGTATTGTGTAGAATTTCAGCAGTTTTTGAAGAAGTGCAGAGAGTTTTGCAGAAATCCATCAAACATTGTTGAAAGCACTAGCGTGCACAGGAATCTTGTTAAGGAGGGGCAATTGTTTTACTTCTATGGGGCATTTAATATGGGGATGGGGAGTACTCCAAAGTTCGTGGTGGATTGTGCTGTCCACCCACCAGTGTTTCCCTGCTGTTAAATTTAGCTAATTTTATTTATTTTTTGCACCGGTAGTGGTTCATCTTCTTCAATGCAAACTGCTTTCAGACAGCCAATGGAATAGACAATTTAATCCTATCATTATCCATATACCTGATGACAATCACCAACTGCTCGTGGCGGCCACAATCGCTCGTATCATCTGCCACTGGTTTTCCTCACAAGGTTTTCGCAATGTTCCGCAACTTGATGCCGAACATTCAACATGTTTTAAAGATGATATAAAGGACAATCCCGAAATTATTGCAACGCACATAAACAACTGTAACTTTTTAACCACGGTAACAAATGACAGAATTTTCAGAGAAGATTCTTAGACGAACAAACTAACACCATCTTTTCAATTAGGGAATCCAAAAGCTGTCTTTAAACTTTGTACAATTCCAAAAAATCCATCCTTAGAATTCCTTGCGGGTATTTTCGAAATTTTTAGAACTCTATGAGCTTTTTTGATTTTTTTTCTCATAAGTCCACTAGAATTATTTTTAGAACTCTTGCTGACTTCTCCTCATAACACCTTGGAACTGAAATTCCCTTAGAGTTTCAGAAAAATTTCCTCAGTTTTATCCAGAAATTATTCCCGGAATGAGCTAGAAATTATCGATACTCCCTAGAAATTTTCCTCAAAATCCCTTTGGAGATTCACTCAAAGTTTAATTTTCTCGGTATTCTTTCCGGAATTATCTTGGAACTATCAGCAGGATTCACTACACCCAACCGGTGGATGTAAGATTCGCTTACAATTATGTGGGATTCATCATCAGAGGATGTAAGTGGAGACCGCATGAACCGAGGATGCGATACACCTAGCTGCGGTCCAATGCAAGAAAATTGGAGACCGAAAAATGTAGAGTGTTTTAGTGAGGTAAATTAATTATGCCGAAAAAAAATAGGAAAAAGGTTACCGACTGGACTCGAACAACGAACGTTGCGATTATCAGACCTGTGCTTTCTCCACTGCTCTCTCCATGCATCTGAATATGGATAGCCTAAAAGCAAACAAGAAGCGCTCATTTCCTCTCACACTCAACTTCGTATGCTTTTTCTGCTGGAGAGATTCTAGGCAAGGGTGTGCGTTGTTTTACCATGTCATACATAAAAATCAAGGCAAATGCTTGCTTGTGTAGGTGAAAACACAGACAGAACACGAAATAAAAAAGGCAAAAAACCATTACATTGCCTGCAAGGTCAACTTCTAACATTCGCTGCGATGTTCATGAACAGAGGATGATAGAAAATGGAACTAACATTCATTGTAATAGATTTTTGGTTTGCGTGTAGAAATTATTCGAAGAATTTTCATGGAATACTCCCCAGAAATCCTTTGGAACTGTCCTCAGAATTCATTATCCTTGACGTTCTTCTCGGATTTTTTTTTAGAACTCTCCTAAGATCTCTTTTGAAATTCATTTCAGAAGTCCACTGGAATTATACTTAGCACCCTTCATGATTTTTCTCAGAACACGTTAGAACTGAAATTCCATTAGATTTTCAGAAATTTTTCCCGGAATGAGCTGGAAATTATCCTCGGAATTCGCTTGAAATTTAGCTTAAAATTCCTTTGGAATTTCACTCAAAACTTGATTTTCCCGGTATTCTTTTCGAAATTATCTTGAAAACATCTGCATGATGCACTAGAAATTTTCCGCAGTGTTTTCTTTGAATTCTCCCCGGATGTAGTTTGGAACTGTCCGAGGAATTCAATATCCTTGAGTTTCTTCTCGGAATATAATAGAACTTTTTTTTTTCTCAGAACACCTTGGAACTGAACTAAAGTTTCAGATGAATTTCCTTTGAATTTTCCAGAATGAACTTGAAATTATCCTCGGAATTTCCTTTGAAATTTTTCTCAACATCCCTTTGGAATTTTATTCAAAATTTAATTCTTTTGGTATTATTTTCGAAATTATGTTGAAACTATTTGCAGGATTCACAAGAAATTATTCGCAGAATTTTCATAGAATCATCCCCAGAAATCTTTTCTTATCAAACTGTCCTCAGAATTCAATACCAAGTCAAGTTTAAGTTGTCCGTCAATTCACCAAAACGTTTTTCTACCAGAAATTTTCAATAAAGCTTGCCCCTCCATTCACCAGAACTGTGCAATTTTTATATCAGGAATTTTCAATTCAGCTTGCCCCTTCATGCAGCATATTGTTGCAAATCTTACACCAGAAATTTTCAAAACAAACTTGCCCCCAGATAATTTTAGACCAAAAAATTTCAATTGACCAGAACGGTGCGAATTTTCCACCGTTAATGTTCAATAAAAATTGCTTCTCCAATCTTCTGATTGGTGCAGATTTCCTTTTTACATTTTCAATATAGCTGGCTTCTCCTATCATCAAAACGTTGCATGTAATTCTACACCAAAAATTATTATGAAAGTTTATGTCTCCATTCAGAACGATACAAATTTAAGACCAACATTTTTCTGAAAAGCTTGCCCATAACGGTGCAGATTTTCCACCAGAAACTATCAATAAAGCTTAATTTTAAATAAAGCTTGTACCTTCATGTATCAGACCAGTGCAAGTTTTCCACCAGAAATTTCCTGTTCATTTCAATTTATCAGAACGATGCAAAATTTTGCACCAGAAATTTTCAATAAAGCATGCTCCTCCATTCACCAGAACTGTGCACCAAAAATTAACAGTGAAGTATGTTTCACCATGCACCTTTGTGGTGCAATTTTCAGGTTTTGCCTCTTCATGCACTAGAATGGTGCAAATTTTCCACCATAAATTTTCAATGAAGCTTGCATTCATCAGAACGATGAAAATTATGCACCAGAAAAATTAATAAACCTTTCTTCTAAATTCACCACAGTGTAGCGAACATTCCTACCATAATTTTTTTAGGTAAATGCGCACCTTCAAATTTTTAGCGTTATTCACCAGAGTTATTCATTTTGATTAGTCCCTCCATACACCACATTGATGAGATTTTTACACTAGAAATATTAAATAAAAAGCTATTTCTTCAAATTACCACCACGAAGGTTTTGAACCTTGAACTTTATTGAAAATAAAATCGACGCCAGAAATTTTTTGTGGTGCAAATTTTTGACCAAAAAATGTCATTGTAATTTGTCCCTTCATTCACCTTTGTGGTGCAATTTTCAGGCACTATCTCAAAGGAATTGACGCAATAAAAGGTTTTCTGTGCCCTTTTATTATGAAATAAAGTTATTTTACCTTCAAATCAAGTTATCAAGAAATCAAGTTATTTTATATTCTAATTTTTTAAATCTGAAAATAAAAATCTTATATATAAGGGGCGGGGGCAATTGCCCCTCCTTGCCCCACCCTGTGCACGCCAATGGTTGAAAGTTTTCGAATTGGAGAGACATTCAGGGAACTGCGTTGAAGTTCTGAGACATATTTTTTAACTTCATTGAACTTTTCAACATTTTAGGGACATCCTTAAAAATTCAAGAAATTTAATATATATCAAGAACAACATGTGAAAAGGGCACGCAAGCTTTTTGTAAACAAACCTTCTTATGCCCTTTTCTCGCTACCCATATGACACCAACTCAAACCATCAACATCACCGGATAGGGGAAGCTTTCCCCTTCCCGATGATGTTATTAGTTTTCGTGGGGGACCCTCGGTTGGCGAGAAAAGGGTCTACAAAGGTTTGTTTACAAAAAGCTTGCATGCCCTTTTCACATGTGGCTCTTGAATTTGAATAACTTCATAGCGCTTCAGTGAATTTCAAAAACAAATCGGGAAAACTTCGTTGCACTGGAAACCTTATACAGGTTTAAGAAACTGGGCTTGTAGCTATATTTAAAACTTTGTTCAATTTTAAGACACTTAATAAAAGTTCTTCTTTTATCTTCAGGACACTTTGCTAAAGTTTAATGAACTTTTTATTAATAAGGAAATTCCGCAGAAATTCAGGAAACTTTGCAGAAAACCATCGAAATTCTAAAAAGTTCAGCAATCGTTGCTTCATAGGTATTCTGAGAACTTTTCAAAAATCAAGCGGATTACATAGCAATTCGGGGAAAATCGTAAAATTTTATAGCAGTGTATCATACAAGTTCAGGAAATTTCATAGAAGCTCAGAAAGTTTTGAAAAAGCTCAGCATTCTTTTTAGAACTTTTAGAACTTGTATCTAACAAGTACAAACTATCATTATAACAACTAAAGATTCCAAAATTCCGAAAATCGTTTTTTTATAGAAAGTGAGTGGAAGCAAGCCTGAACACTACTATCTAAAAGCTTGTAACTATTGGATGCTTTAAATTTCATTGGGTCAAGCAACAATTCCCGATTATTACATCATTGAATATTAGTGTTAAGTGTTAAGTGCAGTCCTCGAAACATGACATTCCTTGGCCAATAAGGTCAACAAATAAGCACAATAAATAATTTCAACTAACCATTCCCTTTGATTTTTTCTATCTTTTTCAGATGGCTTGTGGTATCTCATGCGTGGACAATGCACTTAATCGGTCATTTTACAAGTTGGGCCTCTTCATCGGGCGACATCCGGGCTACTTTCTCATAGTACCGGTACTGTTGGCACTGCTCTGCATGACCGGGTAAGTTTCAAACGTCAGCAGTTACATAATTCTCGGCTAAGCAAAATAAATACGAATGTGTACGCAGAACAATACCCCAAAGCAGAAAAAAAATCATCTATTCAAAGTTTAATGCATGCAAAATATTTGAATCACAAGTTGCAAAATGTTTACTCGCACCCATCGTAACCATTACGAGCTGTTAGCCAAACAATCGTTTGGCAGCCTATTAAGCTGCGAAAATGAGGAGAAAAGTACCCTGCAAAAGTTTATTTTTCGCGCTACTCCAACAGTATTCAAGATATGTTTACTCCAATGCCTAGTTCCGTTTAATGACCCAAAATCAGTAAAATTCCATAATGATCCAATTAGCATCTCGCGATGGATCCGAAGGTAACTGTTTACTTTCAAAGCACTCCGAACCTGTTACGCAACTCAGCTTGCCGGTCGGCGGATCGGAGCCGCTTCGATTCAAACGAAGACTTTCACTTTCCGATATCCACCCCATACTTCAAGTGTTCTGTTCTTGTAGAATCGCATTCCTTCCCGAGCAGCTTTTTTTCCCAGGCACAAGTTTCACACCTCGCTTTCTGCAACACGTTCCGTTCTCACGTTCGTTTTTGTTCAACTCGTTCGTTCATCGTTCTTTCGTTCTGTTTTCCCACCATCTCCCAGCTATCAACAGATCAGGTACGAAATCGATCCCGAGTACCTGTTTTCGCCGATCCGCGGCGAAGGCAAATCGGAGCGTGCCATCGTCGAGAACTACTTCAAGGTCAACTACACACACCGGTTCAACGTGGGCCGCATCACCCGACCGGGTAAGTACCTAACTGTGCTGGCATTAGAGAATTAAATGATCTACTTTACTTACCTACGGCTACGGCATTGCTCCCGAACGGGATCCTGTTTCTGAGTTCTCGATAATATTTATCAATGTAAGTATGGAGGATGGGATTTTGCATTTACAGGAAACACATGCACACTGAAACGTTGCAATTGCCATAACATGTGTTCTAGTCCAACAGAAACGACTCAGGACAATAAGTTAATTGAATTTCGACTCAATCAAAAATATCAAGCATAATAAGCAATAAATTCTAGTGAATTATAAAACCACTCACCATCAGACTCAGGTTCATGAACCATCAATTTTGACCTTTAGACTCTGGCAGTCGCAAGTCTTTTGTGATGGGCATGCGCTAGAGGCCAGTGAAATCTTGATTAATTTATTAACCCTAGTAGCACGCTTGTCACAAATCAATTGTAGAAACTTATATACGACTTATTTCAGTCATAAACAAGTTGCCGTAACTTATTGTGATGAAAGTGTGCTACTAGGGAAACGTCGGTCTCTGTTCTGCAATCATGAGATAAACTAGCTAACTACGGCTAAAAATCTCATAAATGAAGTAAATTAAAAATCACCGACAGAAATCGATTGCCGGAACCAAAGAGATCAAGCAAAACTATTGATTGCGTCAGTAAAGCTCGTGTGCAGTTCGTCGTAGAGCACATTATGTAATTTAAATAAATATAATTAAAAACTAATGCGGGATGACAGTTCATTGACATGATGAAATGCTGTATTTTAATCGATCTTCAGATAAGAAAAAAAAAACAAATAAGTAACATTTGAGATTTTATGTAATGTGTGCACAATGTTCAGTACACGCATGCAGGGCAGTGTGCGATTCTCTATACCTGGTTACAAGCGAATGATTATAAAAAAAAGTACTTTACGGAAAAAACGTTGGATCATTAATTCCTTGAGTTGAGTGTTCTTCCTGAAAGAGTTCAAACATTGTGTGTGTACTATCGCTAGTGAAACTGACTTATGATTTGAAAAAAGATAATCACAACCAAAAATCTATTATTATATGTGACACAGGAAATTCAAGATTCCTATGTATGTGGAAGATTTGTGCCAGCATCTCTGAATTATAAAATTCTCAAAATTGCAGAACAAATGCAGATTACTTATATTTAATAACTATCTTAAAAAATCACATTATTTGGAATATTTTGCTTATTTGAATTATCCTTGTAGCATCGTCGTAATCGCCCATTTCCGTTCCATCGAGCAGAAATCAACGATAATATCAATAATTTCACCGTGCACAAATTACTCTGCTCAGTCACATCACTTTATGTTACACACTCCATTTGAACGATGCTAAACTTTGCTACCATTGCAGACTGGGCCAGGAATGTAATCTAACGGAGCAAAGTTAATAACTCCAAAACCGAGCATTTTCGTAACTACACAGATAAAAATTCTTAATTTTAATTGTGATGTAAACATTCATTCACGTAAACTTATATTTCATTTCACGCAACCGAGCAACTTGTAAATAATATTGTTTACAACAATGGGCTTATGTATACAATATTTGCTACATTGCATGAAAGTCTCAGAACTTTACATGATATATAATGTAAACTTATATGATATGTGACGCTCAATTTATGTGCATCATACTGAACAGAAATTTACACTACTTTTTCGAACTGTGTAGGTGTCTCCGGAAAAGTTTCTCGTCAAAATAAGAACCATCTATTGACATAAACAAATAAATCAAAATTCTTCCGCAAAGATGGCGCCACAATCTAATTTATTTTTCTGTCGTTTTCGAGACTTGATGTCTTCGGGAAAGCAGTTTATCTTGACAAAGTAAACAACTCTTTTGTAGATTCGTTTTTTTTTATCACATTATCTTTAAAATTTGAAGCATCATCAAGTCCCCGAAACGTCAGAGAAAGAAGTTAGATTGTAGCGCCATCTTTGTGAAAGAGCTTTGAACTATTTGTTTATGTCAATAGATGGTCATTATTATGACGAGAAGCTTTGCCGAAGATACCAAGTCACGAAAATGCTTCGTTTCGGAGTTATTAATTTTGATCCGCTAGATTGCATTCCTGGCCCAGTGTGCAATGATGTCACAGACAAAAGTTAATAATTGTACTATTGAAATTACCGTTTTTGCATTCTTTCTTGAATAAATGTCTAAATTTGCTAAAATAATCGTGATGATCACTACACAGAAAAAAATTCTGAATTTTAACTATCGCGTAAAATCTCCCTTCGTTTAATTTTGGGTTATTATTGGCATAAACAGCGAAATCGTTTACAAGCTTGCATACAATATTGATAGTTCATGCGATATTGCGCTTAATTTTACACGAAATATGGCGTAAATTTATGTCAAATCTGACGTTAATTTTATGTGCGCTATATCTCGCAGAAATTTACATGAATTTTTCGAACGGTGTAGTAGTGGCACAAACTGATTGATTAAAGCTAAACCAAAGAACGCTCGTGCATACAACGAAGAATCAACATAAATGGTGCCGTGACCAGGACCTACGAGATCTTCGTCGGTGTTCTGCAACTGTATCCACAATCTCTTCAAACGCTTTATCGATGGCAAACTCGCACAATCTAGCCGTTGCGCCCACTCGCATGAGAAATGAAAGATCATTTCCTCCGGTTTCTGCTCCATCAATGCCAATTTCCTTCTTTGAAGCATGACGTCGGATCCCGAAGTGAAGTATGACTTCAAACGGAACGTTGCATTCAAAAATGGGTGGTCGTCTTGATCGGGAGCATCACTTGTGGATTTTGAGTTCTTGAAAATCTCCAAAAGTTTTTGTCCTGCCTTCACTTTGAAAATTATGAACTGCGTGGCCTCGTCCATTATGCCAGCGAGCTTCATAGAATCCACCAATAAGTCCTTCCATGCTTCAAAGTCCTGACGTCCAATCTCTTGGCTGCCCGTAGATGGGTTGCACTCTGGTACGCTAACAGATGAAACCGAAATTTGATTGACGGATGTCATAATGCGTGAATGCTCCGTACTAGTTTCTCTCTGATTTCCGAGGCGATGCGTGCTTGATGGTCCCACCTCTCCATTGAATTCATTGCTGTTCACGTCACTGGCTTCACTTCTGGGCAAATTCAAAGGTAAAGTCGTGAGAATGTGATACTTCTCATTATCATCATGGGTTTCTAGACACTTTTCCTTCAGTTGCTGAATGATTTCATCTTCGATTGTCAGTACTTCTGATCGATTGTAAACTGGGTAATTCTAGTAACTCTGAAAATGAAGTTTAAAAACATATTTGACATTACTGTAAACGCTACACTAATTTCGGCGAAGATACTCAAAAAAAGCCTACTAAAATCTAGCTCCATTCGAGCCCAAGGGGTGGTCACTCTACGCACTTGTTTTGCTCCAACTTTTTTCTCAGTGTACCTCAGTGTGCCGCAGCTTACATGGCAGTGCCGAGAAGTAATTGAAATGACTTTTGTGTGCTTGTGAATAATGAATTGTTTGGCAACCCGGTAAGTATTTTGACAACTTGATTTTGTTTTGTTTTTCGAAACCTGAGAACTCATTTGACGACGACGATTTTGGGCGGCTGAAGCCGGAAAGCGACAGCGGTCAAGAAAGTGGTGGACGCTTTGTGCTAGTCACGACTGTCGGATCTTCGGAATCGAAAGGCGCTAAGCGCAAAGCCATTCCAAGCGATGAACAGACGAAGAACACCAACGGAAGATCAAAGCCATGAAGCAGCTGTACAAACCGCCGACGGTAGAGGAAACCAATCGGTTGAAGGAAACGGAATATTTCTACCTCTCGAATCTGTTCCGGCTGCAGGTGAAGGTTAAATTCAAGGTGTTAAATTATATTGAGCGTTGATTGGGCGATTTCCGGAAGATTTTGAGGACGGTAAAATATGCGGACCAGTCTTGTGTTTGAATTCTAAAAATAGAAAGCAATGATGTCCTAGGTATAAAATTTCTAATCAAAAATGGTTTAATTTACACCAAATTGAGGAATTAGAACGAAATCACTCATGTCATATAATAGTTATTTGATAATTTTCTTTTTGCTCGAATGTTATTCTACCGGTTGTGTTGAGACGAGACGACGACGGTAGAGCATGAGTGTACGAATACAAACAGACTGTCGCGCACGACAACGAAGCGAGTGTAGTAATAAACGTCAACTGTTTCAACCCCTGATGCGGACAATGAACGATCTCTAAAGGATGTGGATTATGAAGGGGTTGATTTTCCGCTGACATTTCCCAACGGGTCGCATGTTCTCGCCAAGGAAAGCTTCAAATTCGTTCCGCATCTGATCATGCACCATATTGGATCCTGTAGTTTGGGAACATCTTATGGCAAGCCACTGAAAGTAGAATTACTGCTGGAGATTCCGGACAAGTGTTTCCGGAAAGAAGATTACCTTAACTTAATTGCCTTAACTCACATGAAGAGGGCGCATTTCTTGTGCCATCTGGTCGGCGGAAGCATTGGACAAACAGTCAAAGTATTCTTTGGCCAGCGGGATGCTAAAAGGGGACTTACGATTTAAAATTTACCAAATTTGTGGTGCACGCTGCTGCAATTTATTTGTAACATAATTAATTTAACAGTGTTAATTTTTAATATAACCACCTTTTATTTCAGCAATCATTAACATGGTAGCATAATGAAAACATTTTAACCATGTGCATCTATTATAACTCATCGGCACCTTCCTCTTCTTCGTCGAACTCTCCTTCCTCGTCAATCGTCATCTCCTGGAACTGCTGGTTTCACCGCCGACCGAGTGCGTAAGCTGAAAGCCCTGCAGGCAATCGCAACCCTCGGATTCCTTACGGACAACATCCAACACAGAATCCATCAGTTCGGCACCCTTGGTATAGTGTCGTTTGACCCAGTTGTTACCAGCACCGGACTGTCCGAAAATGAAGTTATTCGGTCGGAACAGCTGTCTAAATGGTCCCGCTCGGACCGAATCCATAGATC